GCACACTAACCAGTGACTAAAATTGTCCTCTTTTGAAAATCTACAACTTTATTTTCCAAAGAATATGTATAGTAGATATTATAATTATTTAAAAAGTAATAATAATACTTAAATTCTCCTAGCATCTATCTTTTATGGTTTTTAAATTCATAAAATCTTTTCAAGTTTAAAATTTGTAAGTTTTAGTTTCAGAGTTTTTTATTTTTTATTTATTTTTTACCCTTACCTGAGGACATTTTTTCCATTTTTTGTTCAGGTAGAGTGGGAGGGAGAGAGAGAGAGAGAGAGGAGAGAGAGAGAAACATCGACGTGAAAGGGACACATCGAGTGGCCGCCACCCACATGGCCCAACCAGGGCTGTGGACAAACTGCAACCGAAGTACATGCCCTTAGCGGGAACCGAACCCAGGTCTCTCTGGACCGCAGGCCGACGGTCTAACCGCTGAGCCAAACTGACCAGGGCAGTTTCAGACTTTTTTAATGTGACGGTATTATTACAACTGTTTTGACAAGACTCCAAAATAATAGTGGATTAAACATGGTCACAGTTGGGATTGACGTGGCACTACCAGTGTGTGTATACCTTTGGCCCAAGGGGGGGGGGGCCAAAGGCTGTTGCTCTATCAGCATCTCTCTCATGATCTATGAGCTCTACCTCCGCTGCTTCGGCTGCTGGACTCACATCTACATTCCAGTCTTGGGTAGAAGAGAGGAAGAAGGGGAGGGGTGCATAACTAAGGGCACGATTCATATGTTCTACACATCACTTCTGTTTGTATCCTTTTTAAAATTATATATTTTTATTTTATTTTTATTTTTTGTTAATCTTCACCCGAGGATATTATTCCATTGATTTTTAGAGTAGGAGGGAGGGTGGGTGGAAGGCAGGGAAAGAGAGAAAGAGAAACATCAATGTGAGAGAGACATATCGATTGGTTGCCTCCTGCATGACCCTGACCAAGGCTGGAGAGCAAACCTGCAACCCAGGTATGTTCCCTTGACTGGAATTGAACCTGAGACCCTTTGGTCTGTGGGCCGAAGCTCCAACTCAGTGGTTCTCAACCTTCCTAATGCCGCAACCCTTTAATATAGTCCCTCATGTTGTGGTGACCCCCAACCATAAAATTATTTTCATTGCTACTTGATAACTGTAATTTTGCTATTGTTATGAATCACCATCAGAAATATGTGTTTTCCAATGGCGTTAGGCAACCCCTGTGAAAGGGTCTTTCGACCCCCAAAGGGGTCGCGACCCACAGGTTGAGAACTGCAGCTCTAACTGCTGACCAAGCCAGCCAGGGCTGTTTGTATCCTTTTGACAAGAACTTAGTCACATGGGTACAACTAGCTATAGGAAAGCTGGGAAAAAGTATCTTACCTAGGCAGCCATATACCCATCTAAAACTCAGAGATTCTATTTCTAAAATTAAAAAGGGGAGAAATGGAAGTAGGAAGACAGTAACAGTTTATGCTGTATTTGCCATCTTTCGGCTATTGTCAAAGAAACTGATTGAATAGGTTTAAGTTTAAATGTAAGTATGAGATCAAGGGCTAAAATGGGTTTCTGTGGAGACAACTGCATTTATGCATCTTATACCCTATATAACCTCATTTTATGCATTTTTAATCTCCTTACCTCTAACATAATATACTACTGAAAATGAGCACCTAAGAAATGTGTTTGGAATGAATGAATGCTTGCTTGTCTTGTATAATCTGCATCGTGTGAATTCTTTTTCATACTTGCCATTTGTTTGTTTCTATTTATATTTACTTATTTTCTTAAAGAGGATTTATGACTAGAGATTAGTCCATGATATGTACAGGAGTACCTTGTGTCCCTGTGTATGTAAATGGGTGTATGTGAAATCTGATAGAAACGTGAATGAACTTATACACATAGAGTCAATTTTCCCTACCTCTCAAACTGATGGTATTAACTTCAATTGTTGTTTTTTTTGTTGTTGTTGGTGTTGTTTATAAACTTATCTTTATTGTTGCATATATTACAGATGTACCCCCTTCTTTCCCCCATTGACCCCCTTCTCCCCACTCCCGCCCCCCTCCTGCCTTTCCCCACACTGTTGTCTGTGTCCATTGGTTATGCATATATGCATATAAGTTCTTTGGTTTATTTCTTCCCAACCCCCACTCCCCTTCCCTTTGAGGTTTGTTAGTCTAACAACCAATTTGTACTTCTTAATCCCTTCACCTTTTTCACCCATTTCCCCAACTCCCCTCCCATCTGGCAACCAACAAAATGTTCTCTGTATCTATGAGAATATTTCTGTTCTGCTTGTTCATTTTGTTTGTAAATTTGATTGTCGATAGATAGATATTTATTGTCATTTTGGTTGTTTATATTTTTGTAATAGTTTCCTCCAGTCCTTTTTTAAAAAAAAATTATTTATTTATCTATCTATTTATTTATTTATTTAGGTACGTGCCCCTGGTGGGAACTGAACCTGGGACTCTCTGGTCCGCAGGCCGATGTGCCAACTGTTGAGCCAAACTGGCCAGGGCTGTTTGTTCATATTTTTGATCTTCTTTTTTTTTTTCAAGAAGACCCTTCAACATATCATATAATAATGGTTTGGTGGTAATGAACTCTTAGTTTTTTCTTGTCTGGGAAACTCTGTATGTCCATCAAGTCTAAATGATAGCTTTGCAGGATAGAGTAATCTTGGTTGTAGGTCCTTGCTTTTCATCACTTTGAATATTTCTTGCCACTCTCTTCTGGCCTGCAAAGTTTTGTTTAAGAAATCGTCTGAAAGTCTTATGGGAGCCCCATTGTAGGTAACGGACTCCTTTTCTCTTGCTGCTTTTAAGATTCTCTCTCTGTCTTCTACTATTTGCATTTTGGTGATGATGTGTCTTGGTATGGACCTCTTTGGATTCATCTTGTTTGGGACTCTTTGTGCTTCCTGGACTTGTATGTCTGTTTCCTTCACCAGGTTAGGGAAGTTTTCTGTCATTATTTTTTCAAATAGATTTTTAATTTTTTTCTCCCTCTCTCTTCTCCTTCTGATACCCCCGTAATGTGAATGTTGGTATGCTTGAAGCTGTCCCAGAGGCTCTATACACTATCCTCATTTTTTGGGATTCTTTTTTCTTTTTGCTGTTTTGATTGGGTGTTTTTTTGCTTCCTTATATTACAAATTGATGGTTTGCTTCTTGGCTTCACCTACTCTACTATTGATTCCCAATGAAATATTCTTTATTTCAGTTAGTTCATCCTTCATTTCCGACTGGTCCTTTTTTATGCTCTTGATGTTCTCACTAAGTTCCTCAGAGGTCTCCTTAAGTTTTTTGAAGTTCTCACTAAGTTCCTTGAGCATTTTTATAACCAGTGTTTTGAACTCTGCATCTGATTGATTGCTTATCTCCATTTTGTTTAGTTTTTTTCCTGGAGTTTTGTTCTTTTCTTTCATTTGGGACATCTTTCTTTGTCTTTTGACTGCCTCCCTGTGTTTATTTCTATATATTAGGTAGAGTTGCTATGTCTCCTAGGCTTCCTAGGGTGGCCTATTGTAGTAGGTGTCCTGTAGGGTCCAGTGGCACAGCCTCCCTGGTCATCACTGCTGGGCCCTTGTGGTGCAAGTCTCATGTGAACTGTACACCCTTCTGTTGTAATTGAATCTTGACTGCAGTTGGCACGTCAATGGGAGGCATTTACTTAGGCTGATCAGCTGCAAGGACTGGCTGTACCCACTGACCACTGATCTCTAACTATCTTGGAGGATTAGCTGTGCAGGGGCCTAACACACAGAGCAAGACTTACTTTAGCATGGCTCTGGTACCCACTGAGTCCACTCCTTGAGTGTGTCACTTGTGGAGGTGGTTGGGTGGTAGTGCTTTGACATGGTCTGAAGCTGTCTACTGGGTGGTTATTGATAACTGTGGTTATAACAATAAATTTTTGTCCTTACAGTGATTGATTTTGTTTAAACATCAGGTGAAACTTTATTTGGGAATACTTGAGAAAATAAATTTTTATGACAAAAGAAGCTGCTTTTTGCTTATCCTCTCCCCCACTCCCCTTTGATGACTTCTCTTGATGCTAATTTAGGTAAAGAAAGCTACCGCTTCCAAAAGTGCTTTGGTACCCTGGCATAATTTCAAAGAAATCTCCTTTCCCACTTAGTTAACTACATTTCCCTAGGAAAAAAAAATCTTCTGTCAATGTAACATCCTTTAACAGGACTCCTGCTGGCCGGTCCTTGTATCTTGGGGTGGCAGCTGTGAACATATATACTGTGGATTCTTAATGTGTGATATAAACCCGACTGGAGCATGCCCACTAATTGGTTTGAGAGTAGATATAGACAATGCTGTCTTAGAGGGGCTTGTGTAGATAGGCCTAGTCTCAGGGTTAATTCTGCTTGACAGCACACCAGCAGCATCTTGAGAGTAATTACCTAGCAGACGTTTTCCCACAGCTGAACGGAGAGCTTCAAAGGCTTCTGAATTTACAACCAGTATTAACCTATATCTGAAACATAATGTTCCCACAAGCGCTTGGATTTTTTTTCTCCTACTTATTAAACATATGGGGTTACTAGGTTCATTTACTCTGTGAAGAACTTAGTAAAAAATTATTTGGTGTTGAATAATTAAAAATCTTTAATAAGTCAAGAGGATAGTTTTAAATTTTTTTATTGTTTTATTATATTACTGAAACAAGTTAATTTGTAGAGACTGAGTGCTTTTTTAAAAAAACATAATTTACCTTTTTTCTCTCAAAAACAAACTAAAAAGTTAATATCTTTTCCATACTGTGCTATCTCTATGGATATGTGCATGTTTAGGGGACGTAAGGTAATGCATGCATTTAAAATGGTTAAAATAAACATATATTTACACTTAAAAACCTAATTTACTTGTTGACCATTGTACTGAAATTTGTGACTATTGCATCTACCCCCCACCCTCTCCATAAAATAACAGTTATTCTTTAACAAGCAATTTTTATATTGTAAAAAATGTCTTTCCCTTTGCAGGTCAGAAACCAAATTTGACTCTGGTTCAGGTATGTTTACATTAATAATGTTATTCTGAGTATATTTTATTTACATTATTCTCTGAGGAGTAATTCATCAGATCAAGAACCATTTTGATTTTAAACAGACGAGGCAGTCTCTTTTCAAAACATGAACCCCACCTCAAAGCAGAGCTCTTAGCTGCTTGGAATCATAACTTGAGATGTTCACTCTGGGATTCTTGATAGTTCTGCAATAAGCATTAAATGCTCTCTATCTGCAGTTTCATTTTAAAAGCAGAGGTGAGGGTTGTACTTAATCATTGCACAAAATAGGATATTAGTCTCTCAGTGGACAAAGCATCCTGAATAATATGAAGATTCTCTGCAAGTGACTTGTCATCAAATGTAGGTAATAGATACATCTAATTCAGCAAACTATAAAGAGTTTTAGCCAATAGTAATAGATATTTGTCTATGACTTACTTTTTGTTTTGTTCGGGGTGGGGGCGGGTAATGGAAAACTAAGGTCACCTTAAGCCATTATTTTGTATCTATCAAGACAAAATTCACATGTTCACAAACGGTGGCATATCAGCCTCATTGTTAGGTTTTTATTCTCATTAAGGATGAATGTTGCCATATAACCCTATGTTTCATTGTGTCTTTATGTCACTTGCTGAGGTTTGTGAGCTTCGGATTTTCTGATGATGTTTATAATTAAAGCTCAAAAATGACCTCATGTATGATGCAAAGGATTTATGCTCTTTAGTGAACTGTTAATAGATAAATAAACATTAATTTTCCATTCCAGGAGAAATAATTTGCAGAAAAAATATGTAACTTATTGAATTTAAGAGTGTAACATTTCTTCTCTTGTTTGAGTCCCATTATGTTTTAACTTTTTAAAAAAGGTTTTGTTTGTTATGTTCACAAGGGAACCAGTACTATTCTTTTTGATAGTGGTGTTAAGGAGCCAACATGCTTTTTTCTTCAAAGCTTATTCATTCTTTTATTGTATAGATGTATGAATTTCTCCAACTTGGTGAGACTCTAAATACAGAAGTCTAGACATCTCAGTTAACAATTTCACCTAATTTGAGAACTGTGATTCCAGAAATCTTTTCATTCTGTGTGTTCTTGGGCTTCTGAATTACATGTGATAAGCATTTCTGATTTATAATATCAACTATATGGAGACTAACGGCGTGGTGGATTGTATCAACTATTTGACTCTTTAATTGATTTGTAGGAGGTGACTCAAAATAGGGTGAAAAATCTTTGTCATTTTTACTAGTTAAAATCTGTAAGTATAATAAAAATAAATGAATAAAAATTGATGAAGAATGAATTTTTACATAAAACTGCACGTCTTTTATCATTGCCAGTCACCAAATATTTATTAAGAACCAACTTTGTTATGATCTGATTTAATTCCTTAAACATCAAGCCAGAAACTGTTTTTAGGCTCTGGGATCTGGAATATAGCTTTTAAAAATGAAAAAGCCCACTAGGTTCATTTTGAAGGTAAAACCTGGAAATGGCGTACAAAACTGAAATATTAGGCAGCTATTGTCAAAGTCAGAAAATTTATTGTTAAATTCTCAAATCCAAATTTAAGTGTGCTGCTAAATTCCTATAGTGAAGGTTAGTATTTATTCTGAAAATAGTTATAACATCTGTACAGACACACATCTTTCACTCTTGTGACCAAAGATTTTGTTCATGATTCTGATTTTTTTCAAGTCCTGATTTTTTTTAATGTCCATCAAGGACAACATCTGCATGTCTTTGAAAACTATAAAGTTCTGTACTCTGAAAAATCTTATGAGGAATACTGATTAAAAGTTTATTTATTTTTAAAATTTTGAGTTTAAATATGTTGTGGAATCTAGGTGGTTTCAAATTAAAAAACGATTATTATTTTTTCTTATAAACTCTTTTAGCTTACTATCTATTGAATGAAGGAATCATGACAAAGAAAGTTAGAAATGCATTCTTTGGCTTTCTATATCCTGCAAATTTTGGTTAGAAATAAGGTAGCATATTGGAACAATTAAATGTATGACTTTAATAGGTTCAGATTCTCTATTGTTCATCAAATACAGAAAATAAACTAACTCTGTTTAATGTTATATACAGCTGTAACAGTGTTCCTGACCATGTAAGATTTTTAAGTGAAGGAAGATGCCATCTTACTAAGGAAAAGAAACCCTTAAAAATAAATACTATGGTCAATGACTAGCCATAAAGGAAAGTATTTCAAAGTAAATTTATACACACACACACACACACACACACACAGAGCATTTTTTCTTTTCAAGTAAAGAATCCAACTTATGCAAAGCTTATTATACATTTGCAGTTTGTGTAAAAGAGTTTCAGGCTGTGGAGTCAGATTTAGAAGGAAGGAAGGAAAGTTGTCATTGTCAGCACATGGTAAAAAATGTCAGTTGTTGAATATATACCAAAATGATCAACCTAGAACGTGATTTAAATTTGTCTTATTAAAAATGTGTCAATTTTTGTCTTCAAAACCAAATCCATAGATAAAATTTTTTTTTTTTCAGTTTCAAAAAATGCTTGTGATAAAACATATCAACTAGACGACACAGTATAATGAGTACCAATAATTATGTAGATTTTACTATTGGTAATAATTTGCTGTATTTGTTCCACTTTTTTTTGCTTGAAATGTTTTAAAGTAAAATACATACATTTCATGTGATAATTAAAACCTGGAAATTATAGATTGTCTTGATTTATTGAAAGAGATCAATTAATTTTTTGAGATTTTTATCTATCTCCAAAATTTGGGTCACATACACATTCTTATGGAAAGACTGTGGCATTATTATGTCCACATTCAGTGAGAGAGACGAAAGCTGGCCAAGGCCAGCGGGGCTCAGTTGGTAGGCAGCGTCCTGTGCACTGCAACGCTGTAGGTTCAGTTTCCAGTCAGAGTGCATGCCTGGGTTTGGGGCTGGATCCCTGGTAGGGGGCATGCTCTGCCCCCACATTGAGGTCTCTCTCTCTTTCCCCCTCCCCCTTTCTCTCTCTCGAAAACAATCAGTAAAAATATTTAAAAATAAATAAATAAAGAGCTGAAAGTTATTTTTGTGGTGAAAGTTAAGAAAACCTCAACCAGAAGGCAGAGATTTTCTGACCTGGGAATTCAAGGAATATTCTATTGTTGATTAATTTGACTTAAACTTTAGTTGCCATCTAGCTGTGTCCTCTATCTACTGTGTTATATACTGATTAAACTCCATTTCTGTTGGTTTAGTATAACTCAATCAGTTGTCTAAAGTTTTTGGCTTTGCCAGTTGAGAGCACTCTTTCTAAAGGAGTTTTTAAAAGGTTTCCATTTTAATGCTGTTTCCTCGTTGATGTATTAGTGCTGCTTGCCTAGGAGTGCGTGTAGTTGGTGACTTTACTAATAGAGTAAAACAGACTTCCTTTTATGTTCAGAAGTAGCAAGAAGCTGTGCTCTTCTCCCCACCTCCCAAGAAGGGAAGTTAGTTGATGCTGGAGGAAGCAGAGCATCGAGTTTAATGTAGTGATTAAACATGAAAGCCATATATCAAATCTCAGGAGAAACATGCTTTTGAAAGAGGCAGAGAACTGTGGAGCATATTGCATGGTAGGCTATGTAAACAGAGCCCTAGAGGTCAGTGTGTGGATGCAAACCAATTAAATAAAGAACTCACTGGCTTTGCTTTCTATCACTTGGATGGGGAGGACCACAAGTTAACTTGTGCAGGGTTGAAGTGTAAACTTTGCTTGAATAAGCTAGGCACCTTTAAACTTCATTAACTCTTTCCATTCACTAACAGGTTTTTTTGTTTGTTTGTTTTTGTTTTTTAATTTAACCCAAATCCCTAGGAAGTTAAAAACAAAAACATATATATGCTCTGTTGGCCTTTCTGTACATACCCATCAGCAAAAGTGCTGGTGATGAGCAGAATAGAAGAGAATGCAAAGGATGAACTGCTGAAAAGACCCGAGTTGGCTGTGTAGTCAGATTTCAAGAACATGCACATGTCTTTTAGAAACAACCCATTTGGAAAAGCAGAGCTCTTGCAGAATAACTGAAAAAAGATGTTCTACTCTTCTGAATTCTGAGTATGAAACAAAGATATGGTCGGAATTTACTAGTCACTACATAACATCAGGATATTGTTATTTCTGTTCTATTAAGAGTTTTCTGACCAAGAAAAACCTGAAGCCTGTAACTGTGTGTTCAGGGGTGCCTGGTGTCTAATTCTGTGGTCCTAACCTTCTCAGGCAATGTTTGAGTGAGAAAATGAAATACCAAGTTAAATGGTATAGTTTCATGGTCCATAAACATTCCAAACAAAGATTTTTTTTCCCCCCTGAACTAACATGACTAGAGTCATGTTGGCTCAGAATGTGAATAAGCTTATGTTTAGTGCTTGTTGATTCTGGGCTGCTTGGAACAGGTATACTAAGGAAATGGACTCATGGAACATACCAACTGGAAGGTATAAAATTTCATGAAAGCAAATTATGGAGGATTAAGAAACCTAATGAGCATGGTTTAGTGTGGAGAGTGGAGGAGGGAGCTCTCTATTAAATAGAGCCCAAGAGTGTACAAGGTTAGAAGATCCTAAAAGACACCATAATGAAAGGCACAACAGAATATAATTATCCTGAAGGGGGGAAAAAAACCCCCAGTACAAAAAAGCAGCTAGTGTCGCTTTTAAGATCTGTAGTTAAAAAGGAATCGACACTAGGGCAAGGAAATCAAAGAATGTAATCAGTTAAAGCTTGAGGCAAAAACATCAGGGCCAGTGACAAATAAAGTAGGCTGATAATGCTGGTCACTAAGTTGAAGGGAAATAAAGAATTTGCATATAGTAGAACCTGAGTTTTGAAAGTTTATAAGTAAATGAGACAATCTACCTAACATAGTAAGCCTTTCTCAAGAAATATTTACATGGAAAACATTTTCAGGTCTTAAAAATGCGAGAATATGTTGACAATACTTTTTAATTGTTACAACTCAATTTTGTCATTTTAAATTTAAT